ACTCCTTATCGGGTGTTGTCTAAAAAAACAAAACAAAACAAACCCAAACCCTGATAAATGGCCGGGGGGGGGCGGCGCAAGGCGTGAGGGCTCCCCTTTTTAGACAAGATCCGATGAGGGAACGCGGGGGGCCGGGGCGGGGCGGGGTTGGTTTAGGAACGCGGCCGGCAGCGCTGTAGGGCCGGAATTAAAGAGCTGAAGGGTGGCTCTGAAATGGCTGAGGAGTTCTGTCGTTTACCAAGTGGCATAGGAGACAAGTTCATCCCAACAGGGGAGTTTACTCCGGGGACAAAATTGGAGGAGTTTGGTGCTTGTGACCCGTGGTTATCTGAAGTAGGCTTCCTCCTTAAGCTTCCGCCTGCCTAGAATGCTCCTTCCCGAGAAAAAAAAACAAGAAAATAAAGTAAAAGCAAGAAGTGAAGTTCCCAGTCCTCTCAGATACTTTCTCAGTTTCCTTGCTGAGCCAGGACTTTGACACACGTTTGTCTGTCTTGGATGCCTCATGGTGGGAGAGTCTTAGAATTACCTCAAGGGAATTGGCCTTAATTGGAGATGGGCATCTGCTGTCTGCCTTCCCTGCTGTAAGAGGTTTTGTTGGGAGGGGCTGGCTTCTTTCAGGGAGGCTTCATCCCCTGGTTTGGTGAGTTTTTAACTGTGGCAGCATTTGAAAGGGTTCTCAGGATAGAAACAACTCTGACAAGTCTTCTTATCTTCTCTAGTATTATAAGAGATTAAACCAGCCTGTATTTTGCTCTCTTTGGACTACGGTAGGAAAGTTACCTTATTTGTTTCCCTTTATTTCTTGTGGGGAGTATGCACACCCCTGCTGAAAGGGATGTGCATGTTGTGCATGTAGGTTTCTTTGAAACCCAAGTTTCACCATTTTCCTATCGCAGCAGCTTGAAGTTATGGGCCTAAAGATATAGTGGATAGCATATGATGTTGATATTTGTAGGGGCAGGGAAGGGAAAAGGCTATATCCATCATATTGGAAAGCCAGCTTAAGAATTTATTGAGAAGTTATGTGGATCTGCTAAGCGAGAGATTATAATGGTGAGAGATTACTTCACATTTCTGTAATTTCCTCCTCCGTGTTCCCCTTCTCCATTCTTAGGCTACTTGAACAACAACGTTTGCCAGCTGGCTGAAGCATACTGCTGATTTTCCCCTAGAGTCTCAGATGGACCAATGACAGCTATTCCTACATGATTTGGGATTCCGGTGCTCTACAAATCCCTGTTGAGGGATTTCCTTTTCACAGTTACGAGGCTACTAAAAAGTAGAAGTGGGGGATAATCCTCTCGGTTCATGCATTTGGAGGGAGGGGGGAGGAACCTAACAAAACCCCAGGGCAGTCATAACTGCAGTTTGCTCTTCCAGTTTGCCTGCCTGAGTGGGAGAACTTGAGCAAAAAGCTTTTCATAGTAAGTTGTTAGCAAAGTGAGTTACTAGGTAAGTGTCAATTCTAAGCACCTTGAGCTAAGTTCTTGTCAGGGAACAAGTACAGTTTCTGCATTTCTTTCCTAAGCCAAGGCGCGCTCTGAATTTTTGCATGTTATTTTGTGCAGTAAAACATAAAGACCATGAAGCATTTGCCTGAATTTGTATGCTGTTTATGAGATTTAGTAGCTGCAGTTGCAGTGGCTTGTGAATACAGTAGGGATACCAGGGTACATGTCCCAAATCAAAACAGATTCTCATCGCTGGCTTTCCCTAGATTGTGTTCTCCTGAACAGCCAAAGTAATTAGAATCGAGGGGAAAAAAAAATAAATGTGAGTGGTGTAGTTGCACTAGAAAGACTCACATGTGCCAGCAAAAATGTCACTTGCTGTAGTTGTTTATTTTGTTTGGGAGGACAGATTACTGTTTTTGTTAAACAATTCTCCTGTAGATACAAACTATGTGACTGGTATCAAAATGGTAGTGCTAATAGGTTTGATTTATAAAGGAGTTGAGTGGGCAACTCTTGGTATCAGGAGAGAAAGGCAGTTGTTTTTATTAGGAATCTGGTGATATTTTTACATTGGACTTCCTGTGTTGCTCTACCTTGTCCAATAGGCTGACAGTGTTACATGGCAACATTTTAGTTCTGTCCTCATTTGGTTATGGTTAAGTAGAATTTAAGATGCACAGAGATTATATGTAACAGAATTGTTATACCTGAAAGGTAACTGCATCTTGTGAGTAGAGCCCGTGAGACTGATGGACTAAGAGTTGTACTTGCAAAGTCAAACCTAAGCTTGAAAGGATGCCAGGTTTTTACTTCATCTTCCCTTGACTCCCTTGTTCTTTCTACTTGCAATTTCCTAACTTGTGTCATGAATATAGATGACACAGATAAGCCTTCTATGGGATGCGTGTTCTAGAGGTGGACTTGGCTGTAGTAAGTAAAATGGGGGAAACAAATGGCAGTAATCATGGTAATGTTGCACTGAGTTTCAAGTAGCAAGCAGAAATGCTGCTTTTCTTCTCCCCGTCTTTCTCTCTAGTCTGTTGTGATGGTCACTATGGTCACTAAAGGTGAACCTCCCCTAATGCAGAGGAGGCACTTGCTTTTTGCCTAGAGGTCACAATCAGTGCATTTTATAAACAAGGAAAATAAGTAAAAGTGACAAACCAAAAATGACACTGGTTGTCAGTGCATTAAATTTTCTTCCCTTTTCATTTCTCTTTAAACTGTTGGTAACTGTCTCTTATTTTTTGCCTTCTCTGGTGAAATTCTGTACCTATTTATCTTACTGTCCAAATACTACTTCATAAGATTTGAAATGCTGCCTTCTCTCTTGCTCTTTCTTTGTTTGTATCATATTTTGCTGTTAAAATGCTTACATTCACTGTCAGCGTATTAGTTGTAACCTTTTATTGCTATTGATAACGATAAATACGTTAAGTAAATCTTCATTTTGCTGACCTCTTTGAGGAGGCATTGCATCAGCAGATTTTCTCAGTAGACAGGTGAGAGATTAGCAGGAGTTGACTTACAAAATTTTTTTTGTAGGGCAGTCAGAATTGTTGTCTTGCCAGAGAGAGATGTTTTAAAGGTACAGTTGCTTCAAAGGCAAGAGAAAGCCATGTGGCTTGCATTAACATGGGATGGGAAGGAGAAAGTCATTAAATGCTGGATTTCTACGGAAAATGGTTTGAAATTATTTAAGTTTAAAATAAGCCTATTAGCACCCAAATAGTTGAATACCAAAGCTAGTTTGTGGAGAACTTGAAAATGCTATTCTGCCTTGCAAGTCAAGATGTGGGCAGTTGGTTTGCAAAACTTGCTACCACTTCTGGAAGGAGGGAAGTTTTCCCAAAGGCAGATTCTCAGATGATCCAATCGCTCTCTCTTTTAGGGTAACTGACAATAGTATCGCAGTCAACTGGTGCCACTGAGTGTCAATGTGGCACTAGATAGCAGATGCAAGCCCAAATTGGGCATGAACGGATAGGATGGTAACTCTGAACTTTGAGTTGCTTCTGCTTTGTCTTCTGTTTCTTAAAAAAGGTTTAAAAAGTATTTTAAAAAGGGAAATACTGCTCAATCATATATGTACTAATTTCTGCTCTGTTCTTTGTGTCATTTTCAGGAAACCAGGTCTAATGAGGAATCAACAGATGAATCGGAGGTAAGCCTGATTAAAATACTTCACACTTGAATCTGTGTCAGTGCTAGTTCTTTGTCAGTGTGTAGGGATTTTAGGGAAAAATACTACTTCTTTGGTTGTTTTTAGAAGTTTTGCTGGTACTGTGTATCAAGGAATGTTAATCTGGGCTTAAATTATTAAAAATGAGCTGTGATTTGCTATTAGAAGCTTCTTTATATTTAAAAACCTCCACAATTGCCCCATTATAGTAAAATGAATTATGTTGAGATACAAATTCAAGTGCATGCACTTCTGTTTTGATCAAATGAAAATTTAATTGTCAGTAAAATTAGATATGCAGTAATACTACATTCACGTAATTACTGTGTTATTTTAATAGCTTCATGGTCTAGATTTAATCATGTTCTGTAGAGTCTCTGTTCTTGAGATGACGCTTTGTCAAAAACTGTCTCATGTTCTGGAGAGGTTTGCCTACCCTGCTGTAGGTGCTGGAGAAAGTGGGCTAGGGGTGGGGAGAGGAAGGGAGCTACAGAGGGTTCAAATATTTGTCCACAAACAGCAGTGTGCTAACTCCAAACCTGCCATCGTTGAAGGAACCCTGAGAGATCTGGAAAGCAACACTTGACTTCAGTGTGATCTAGGATGGCTACAGGAAAGAAGAAATAAGGGTGGTTGAGCAACTTCAGTGTTTTCACCCCTCACGTATCTAAGTGAAAGGGGCTCCTAGACTTCCAAAACTTTAATGGACTTGCTGTTAGGAAGATTTTCTGTTCCTTACCTAGGGACAAATCTTCATGCTTGGGATTTGGGTTTAAGCACTAAGCAGGCAGAAATCCTAATGTCCAAGACAGTGGGTACTGCAGAGTCTGCAGTGGTGGATTCTGAGAAAATCTTTTTGCAGAGGGTGGTGGCTTTTTTTCTTGTGGGATAATTTTTTCCCCTCAGCCTTTCACGAGTGGCTGTCTGCAGTGGCACCGTAGGGTGGTCCTGGTGAGAAGCAGGGATTTCTTTGGCCCTTTAACGTTGCTGTGTGGAATAGTTGCCTGGGCCAGACTTTTTTTGCCCACTGTGAGATAGTTTCATTCTGAAAGTTGCTTTATGATGTGAAGTGCATGTAGACCATGACTGGGCAACGACTCAGTATTTAGTAGAATAGTAATCCTTGCAAGGATTGGCATTCACAAGATTGTGAACACAAAAACTTACTTGCTGAGGTGTTTGGGTTTTTTCTAAAGCCTGTTGCAAGTGAGAACTTGTTTTAGTGGCTTTTTAATGGCCTTTCAACATTCAGCCCGTAGTAAATAAGTATTTACACCAGAATTAATCATAAATGGATTGCCAGGTTGTCGGGTTTTTGTTTTTACCTTAAGTAAAAATAGGCATCATGCAGCTTTCACAAAATTGGAAGTCATAAAATATCAACAAGACCTGTGTTGAAGTTGATGTCTATTTTTAATGTTAGTTTCATGCACGTAGAGAAGTTAAAAGGAAATTTTCATACTGAGAAGGTCGATGCTGGATCTAAAGAACAATCGTCATTCTAATGCCTGTGAAAACAGTTATCATGAGTTGTCTTGGAATAGTAAGTGCAGTCTGTAATGTCTTGACACAAAGCAGGTAGCTGATGAAATGAAACTTTGAAACCATGTTAGAAAGTACTTAAAGGAAGCAGTGAGCAATTTTCGCAATGTTAGTGTTTACATCACTCATTAGACTATTTCTAATGATCATTTAGATAGAAAGCAAAAATACTGGTAGAGTCACAAAGTCTAAATTTTGTCAGTGCTTGCTGATTTTATTTGAAGTATAGTCAGAGATAAGATTGAGCTGATGGCTTCACTCTTAGCTCTTGTGATCATAAAACTGTATGATTTCTTTTGGGTGTCTCATAGTTTGAATAATCAGGGATGCATTTTATGGTGGCAGTACTAGAATTTGAGACTCTAATACTTGCAGCCTGTGTCCTGTTTTACCCATGAAAAAGTATAATATTTATGGTGTGGACTTTCTAGACATCTTATCATTATAGTAATAAAGATTTTTGCATATACAATTGGTCTAGCACTTAATATTAATTCTTCCCGTAACATTGAAAATTATTGCTGTTGGTTTCAGAGGGCATATGACACATATCCAATAGAAGTCTCTTCTATTGTGGAGGAAGGTAACTTCCTGTTTTTGAGTAAATGATGTCCCTGTCTGAACTGGATATGTAAACTAAATACAGATATTTTTTTCCTGCATTTTTTGCACTGCTGTGCCGTTATCTTAGTAAAGAATCAAACATACAGTGATTCCCTTTTATGTAGCAACTCTTTTAGTATCATTCCTTTAGGAGCTCCTAGTAAATAAGATGCTAATGCTAATTTGCTACCTGCTTGGTTTATCTTGAATGACAGGCTCTTTAACAAATGCCAGGATGCTTAATTGCAAAGACTTGGTGGTAGAGCTTTATAATAGGCCTCATGTGGGAGTCTGCAAAAACTGGCTGTCTTGAATGTATGTCAGCTAAGAGCCCTTCCTTGTAAGTTTGGTTCCAACTCTTGCTTCCCAGGAAATTGAGTTTCTAAGGCTGCTTAAGTGTCTTAATACTTTTCATCTGTTTAAATCAGAATATGCAAAATTCAAGGGTGTTAATTAACAGAGATGGTGCATATGTTCAGATGTTAAAGAGACCTTTCGGTGTGGAGATGGTGGTAGTTACTTGTGTCAGCACTTGTAGAAATGTAATAGATCTTTCCTGGTTACTGCAGTATACCTTAAGCTTTTGTTTCATATCCTCATATATGATAAGTGGTATTATAAGCTTTTTTTTTTTCCCTGTAGACAGACTGCTATATATATGTGTATATATATATGCGCCATGATATGATGAGGAAAAAGTTTTAATTCTCAAGAGGAAAACCTACTTGGTTTGCTAAGTAATTCTACTGCGGTCTTGAAGCATGACTCTTTTCTTTTCGTATCTTCTGGTTTTGTTTGTTTGGTTTTGTTTTTTTAATTGTGCTTGTGAAGTATATTTGTTTTACTTCTCCCAACCCTGTCTAACCATCAAATATGCTACATTTCGGGGCTGAGCCTGAGCAGGTTTGTTTGGCTGAAAAGTCCTAGTGCAGTGTGGTTTCATTGGCTTATATAATTTTATTTTGCAGCACCTGAAACTACGTGTCACATTTGATGAGATCTCAAAAATAGACAAAAAAAATAATCTGACTTTTGGCTGTTTGTAAACTGTGGAAGAAATAGTCTGCATAAGTTATGTACAGCCTGAATCTGAATTTCTGTTTTCAAATTAGTTTTCTTCCTTGCAGTGCACCTGTTTCTGTAAAATGCTACTTTTCTCAGTAGAGCCGTTTTCTGTCAGGCAGATGCTTACATTTTGCCAGCTAATTAGCAAAAGATGATGCTGAGGAATGTATAGTAAATAGTTAAACTTTTTTCAGTAGCAGTGCAATACGAGGTGAGGTGCACAGTGGTATTTTTCTTGCATTTAAGTTGATGCTGCTGCTCAGCCTGTAACTTTGTCCTTGAAAGTTTTGCTTTTAATGAGACAATCCTGTCATATTATGTAATGGACTGTTGTGGAATGATTTAAACAGTTTTTTATTTTAATTTAAAACAGGGCATAATTAGAGTACAGTAGCACACAGAACATCATGTATTGTGAAATGCACCCATGAATCACTTGCATTCGGTGAAGAGAGGAGCTGGTTTTGTATTCCTTAATTCAAAAGAAAGCTTATTATAGAGCCAGCTTGAGTCTCCTTGAAACTCTTTGCTGCTCTGCTCTGTATTGGGTGTTTTTATATACAGTGTGTTGTAGTTGCACAGTATGGCGGAGTCACCATTCATTATGTTACACAATGAAATCTTGTGAGTTCAGGTGAATGTTATTTTTGTTTTCACTGTATATATAGTGCACAAAACGTTCCCATTGAGACTTAATTTGTACTGATAAAAGCATATATTTCACCCCGGAAAATTGCTGGTCTGCATACATCAGTAACAATTATTTCAGGTAATTTGCATGTAGCAGAAAAATGTTTGGAACCATGCCTCTGGGTCCCAGGCCCAAAAGCTTCCGTCTCAACCTCAGACTTCATGTACAGGTTAATTATGCTCTGCCTCTTTCTTGCCTGCATGCCTCACCCCTTGCCCCTTATAAATGGAGCAATGGTAGCAACTTCCTACCTCTGAGAAGTAAAGAGAGGGTTTCAAACCCCATTTGTGAGTGTGAGGTACTGGTAAAATTAAAGTCATGATGCATCGAAAACCAAAACCTTCCTACTTGATGAGGGAATCAAAGGTAAGTTATCATTCTGGAATTTGGTTAGTTATTTGTTGAAGTTTTCTGCTCCTTTCTAATTTGCTGCTGGGGCTATGAGTGGATTGCCCTGGTCCAGTATCTATCTTCTTTACAGGGAGCACCTTTTCAAGAACAAGTGTCACTGGAATCGTAAAATGAGTGCTATGTCCCATGAAATGATCCTGTGATTATGTGAGGAGTTTCACTGATTATTTTTTTTTTGTAGGTGCTGCACTGCAGGGTAGATGTTTGGTTTTTTTTGTTTGTACTGTTGGCCCGTTAAAGGAAATAAATTAAAAAAAGGCAGGTGTATGCAGATGTTCATTTTCTGCAAAAAGTTATTAAAAAGAATACTTTTTTTTTTTAAATGCATTAATATGTGAATTGTTGTTTTTTTACTTGTGTGTGTTAGTCATCAGCGTTGCATGTTTCCATTTTAGCACTTCCATTTTTATATGTCCTGGTCTTAATTTTTTTTGGCCTGTTTTCTGATCTTTGATCACTGGTACCCTATGAAAGGGATATGTTTGTTCATTGAGTTTATTTAAATACTATATTAATAAATTTTACTAGAGCTTGTAAAGAGGAAAGTATTGTAGAAATTCTTGGTTAACCCAGTGCTCAAACAATTTATGGTGGTTTAGAAATATCCCTCACAGATACACTTTTACCACGTAAATTGGTAGTGGTATTGTTCTTTAAGGTTTTGAAAACT